ATCCAGGTTTCCTGTCGGGAGGTCCACGTCCACCTCAGGACCTTCTGCCTTGACCCCAGGCATCCCAAATTTGGGCATTTTGAACTTGGGGAACTTTATTTTTCCTTCAGGGCCATGAATGTCCACATCGGGTGCTTCAATGTCAACTTTGGGACCCTTAATGTCCAGTTCTGGGCCTTTCAGGTCACCTTCCAGCTTGGGGACAGAGACGTCGACGTCACCCTTGACTTTGGGGCCCTTCAGGCTGAAGTCTACGTCGGGCATGGAGAACTTGGGGGCCTTGATGTGCATCTCGGGCATCTTGAACTTGGGGCCTTTGATCTTCCCCTCGGGCCCTTCTAAATCAATGTCGGGGAGATCAACATCGACTTTGGGGCCTTTGATGTCGAGGTCTGGGGCCTTCAGGTCTCCCTCGAGTTTTGGAGCAGAGACATCGATGTCTCCTTTCAGTTTGGGGCCTTTCAGGTTGAAATCAACGTCGGGCATGGAGATCTTGGGGGCCTTGATGTGCATCTCGGGCATCTTGAACTTGGGGCCCTTCACCTTCCCCTCAGGGAGGTCAATGTCCACCTCTGGATCTTCAATGTCCACCTTGGGGCCGGACACATCCAGGTTTCCTGTTGGGAGGTTCATGTCCACCTCGGGGCCTTCTACCTTGACCCCTGGCATCCCAAATTTCGGCATTTTGAACTTGGGGAATTTTATTTTTCCTTCTGGGCCGTGAATGTCCATGTCTGGAACATCAACGTCCACTTTGGGACCCTTGATGTCCAGTTCAGGCCCCTTCAGTTCAGCATCCAGCTTTGGAAGGGACATGTCCATGTCGCCCTTGACCTTAGGGCCTTTGAAGCCAAAGTCAACGTCGGGCATGGAGAACTTGGGTGCCTTGATGTGCATCTCAGGCATCTTGAACTTGGGGCCTTTGATCTTCCCCTCGGGCCCTTCCAGCTCCACATCGGGGAGGTCCACATTGACTTTGGGGCCCTTGATGTCCAGTTCGGGCCCCTTGAGGTCCCCTTCCACTTTGGGAAGGGAAACAGCGACATCGCCCTTGACCTTGGGGCCCTTCAGGTTCAGGTCAATGTCAGGCATGGAGATTTTGGGGGTCTTAAAATGCATCTCAGGCATCTTGAACTTGGGGCCCTTCACCTTCCCCTCTGGCCCCTCAATGTCCACACTCGGCATCTCAANGCCTTGATGTGCATCTCAGGCATCTTGAACTTGGGGCCTTTGATCTTCCCTTCAGGGCCCTCAATGTCCACCTCTGGCGCTTCAAAGTCCACCTTGGGGCCTTTGATGTCAACGTCCGGCAAATTCAGGTCTCCCTCGATTTTTGGTGCGGACAGATCGACGTCCACTCCCCCTTTGACCTTGGGACCTTTCAGGTTGAGGTCCAGGTCTGGCATGGACAGGTTGGGGGCTTTGATGTTCATCTCGGGCATTTTGAATTTGGGGCCTTTGATTTTCCCTTTCGGACCCTCGATGTCGACGTCGGGAACCTCCACGTCCACCTTGGGTCCCTTCAGGTCCACCTGGGGCAGGGTCACGTCCACGTCCCCCTTGACCTTGGGGCCCTTCAGGTTCAGGTCGATGTCGGGCATGGAGATCTTGGGGGCCTTGATGTTCATCTCGGGCATCTTGAACTTGGGCCCTTTAATCTTCCCCTCCGGCCCCTCAATGTCCACCTCTGGACCTTCAATGTCCACTTTAGGACCGGACACATCCAGTTCTCCTGTGGGCAGGTTCACGTCCACCTCTGGCCCCTCCCCTTTGAACCCAGGAACACCAAATTTGGGCATTTTGAACTTGGGCATTTTGATTTTCCCCTCCGGGCCGTGAATGTCCATGTCGGGGGCCTCGATGTTGACCTTGGGGCCCTTGATGTCCACCTCAGGACCCTTCAGCTCCCCCTCCAGTTTGGGGGTGGACAGGTCAAACTCCCCCTTCATCTTGTGCCCCTTCAGGTTCAGCTCCACGTCCGGCATCGACATTTTGGGTGAAGAAATGTTCAGAAAAGGCATTTTGAATTTGGAGCCCTTGGATTTTCCCTGCACGTCCAAATCCGGACCCTGGACCTCGACTTTGGGGCCAGACAGCTCCACCTCAGGCTTTTTAGCCTTCACATCCACCTCGGGGCTCTGAACTTTTGGGCCAGAAAAGCCAAACTTGGGAAGTTTAAACCTGGATTTTTTAGCTTTTCCTTCCAGGTCCACCTTTGGCCCCTCCAGATCCAGCTCCGGCCCTTTGATGTCCACTTTGGGGCCCTTCAGCTCACCCTCCACCTTGGGCAGAGAAGCATCGAGGTCACCTTTGAGTTTGGGGCCCTTCAGGTTGAGGTCAATGTCGGGCATGGAGATCTTGGGAACGTTGAACTGCAGCTCTGGCTTCTTCAGCTTGGGCCCCTTCAGTTTCCCCTCGGGGCCCTCAATGTCCAGCTCGGGGACAGAAACTTCGACTTTTGGACCCGAAATGTTGACCTCGGCCTCAGCAAGGTTCACGTCCACCTCGGGGCCTTCCACTTTGGGACCAGAAAAGCCAAATTTGGGCATCTTGAACTTGGGCATTTTGATTTTCCCTTCTGGGCCGTGAATGTCCACGTCGGGTGCTTCAATGTCCACTTTGGGGCCTTTGATGTCCAGTTCAGTGCCCTTCAGGTCACCCTCCAGCTTGGGGACGGAGACATCGATGTCACCCTTGACTTTGGGCCCTTTGAGGTTGAAATCAACATCAGGCATGGAGATCTTGGGGGCCTTGATGTGCATCTCGGGCATCTTGAACTTGGGGCCTTTGATCTTCCCCTCGGGCCCTTCCAGCTCCACATCGGGGAGATCAACATCGACTTTGGGGCCCTTGATGTCGATGTCTGGGGCCTTCAGGTCTCCTTCAACTTTGGGAAGGGAAACATCAACGTCCCCCTTCATTTTGGGGCCCTTCAGGTTGAAGTCGACGTCGGGCATGGAGATCTTGGGGGCCTTGATGTGCATCTCAGGCATGGAGAATTTGGGACCTTTGGCTTTCCCGTCCACGCTCAGCTCAGGAGCCTCCAGGTCCACGCTGGGGCCCGAAATGGCCACGTCGCCCTTGGGGAGGGTCAGGTCAGCGTCCACCCCGTCGCCCTTGAACCCCGGCATGGAGAATTTGGGCATCTTGAACTTGGGCAGTTTGAATTTGCCCTCGGGGCTGTCGATGGCCACCTCGGGGCCGGTGACGCTGACCTCGGGCCCTTTCAGCTCTCCCTCCACGCTGGGCAGGGACACGTCCACGTCACCCTTGACCTTGGGGCCCTTCAGGTTCAGGTCGAGGTCGGGCATGGAGATCTTGGGGGCCTTGATGTGCATCTCGGGCATCTTGAACTTGGGACCCTTCACCTTCCCCTCTGGGAGATCAATGTCCACCTCTGGACCTTCAATGTCCACCTTGGGGCCGGAAACATCCAGGTTTCCTGTGGGTAGGCTCACGTCCACCTCGGGGCCTTCCACTTTGGGACCAGAAAAGCCAAATTTGGGCATCTTGAACTTGGGCATTTTGATTTTCCCTTCCGGGCCGTGAATGTCCACGTCTGGCACATCAACGTCCACTTTGGGGCCCTTGATGTCAATATCAGGGCCCTTCAGGTCACCTTCAAGTTTAGGGACAGAGATGTCGATGTCACCCTTGACTTTGGGGCCCTTCAGGTTGAAATCAACATCAGGCATGGAGATCTTGGGGGCCTTGATGTTCATCTCGGGCATCTTGAACTTGGGGCCTTTGATCTTCCCCTCGGGCCCTTCTAAATCAACGTCGGGGAGATCAACATCGACCTTAGGGCCCTTGATGTCGATGTCTGGGGCCTTCAGGTCTCCTTCAACTTTGGGAAGGGAAACATCAACGTCCCCCTTCAGTTTGGGGCCTTTGAGATTCAAATCAATGTCGGGCATGGAGATCTTGGGGGTCTTAAAATGCATCTCAGGCATCTTGAACTTGGGGCCTTTGATCTTCCCCTCTGGCAGCTCCATGTCCACATCTGGNAAAATTCCCAAATTTGAGCCCAAAAAACCCCAAAATGACCCAAAGTGCACCAAAGTCGTGGTTAATAAACAAATTTTATTTGCGTTTTCCACCCCGGATTCTCTCCCGTTAATCGGCGTTAAAGTGCTGCAAAGGGAAAAGGTTTCTTCCATTCTCTGAGGGTTATTTATTTATTTTTTAAATTTTTATTTTAATTTTAATTTATTTAAACTTCTCCCCAAAAAATATTCCTCATAAACAAAACTTTACCCCAGACAATCCCTTTAAACTTTGGGGATAAACGAGACGGAAATTTATCAAATTATAGTACAAAGGATGTAACAAATACAACAAAAACAGCCACAAAACAGCTTAAAAAAGGAAAAAAAAATAAAATAAAAGAAAATAAAAATAAACCCTCGGGAGCGGCTCTGGGCTGGCTCTGTCCTGCCAGAGTCATTTGAGCTCCGGGTCTTGTGCCACGGATGGAATTTCCCAGCTCAGGGGACACTGATCCACTTCAGAGGTCACAGTTCTGTTTTTTGGTTTGTTTTTAGGAATAAATGCAAGTATTTTGGTTTATTTTTAATAATAAACCCATGGCTTTGGTTTATTTTAGTAACAAATCCATGGGTTTGGTTTGTTTTATATAATAAATCCTTTTTTTTTGGTTCATTTTATGCAATAAGTACATTTTCTTTGGATTATTTTATTAATAAATCACTGGTTTTGGTTTATTTTATTAATAAATCCATATATTTATTTATTTTAGTAATGAACCCACTTTCTTTTTGTTTATTCTGCTCAATAAATCCACATTTTTTGGGTTTATTTCTTTGGCTAAATCCATTTAATTACAATTTTTAATTCTTCCCATTTTCTTGGTTTATTTTCCTAACAGATCTAATATTGCCTCTGTTAATTCTTTAATTTATTTTTATATTAATTTCTTCAATAAATCATTTTATAAATTGATCCACATTTTTACTTTTTTTTTAATAATTCCTATTTAATAGGTTTATTTTTTTTGGTAAATCCATATTTTTGCTTTTTTAAATATGGTTTTAGTTAGGTTTATTTTTAAATAAAAAATTCACAGTTTGGGTTACTTTTTTAGTAAAAAATCCACAGTTCAGGTTGGTTTTTTGATAAAAAATCCACAGTTTTGGTTTCATTTCTTTCGCAAACTAAAAAAAACCCCAAATTTTGAATAAGTCCATCGACCCAGCAGAACCTCCAGCCCCGCAAAAAAACAAAAAAGAAAAAAAAAAAGAAAAAAGCCAAAAAAAGTTTTAAACAGAGGAAAAAAAAAATTAATTTCCACGAACCGAACACTGAAAATATTTGGGGGAGAGGAGGGAGGAATAAAACACGGGACACAAAAATAAACCCCAATAAAAATATAAAAAAAAAAGAAGAAAAAAAGAAAAAAAAGATAAATGAGAGAGAATAAGCTCTTGGCATGGGGGGGGGTAGGGAGCCCAAAATCCGGGGGCAGGGGGGACCCCCAGCCCCTCCCCCCCCTCTGTACATGTGGGGGTCCCTCGGGGCAGGGCTATGTACAACCCCCCCCCGGGGTCACTGCTGACCACTCAGGGGTCACTGCTGACCACTGCAGGGGTCACTCATGACCTCCTGGTGGGGATCCCAGGTGGTCACTCATGATCTCCAGGTGGTGGTCACTCCCCCAGTGGTCACTCCTGACCCCGCGGGCGGTCACTCCTTGCGTTTGGCCACGGCCA